ACGTTCCGGCCACAACGCAAGCAGCCGTCCTCAGGTGAAGAACAGGGCTGTCGGAAAGACAGCGGTTTTTTAACTTTAAGATTTAAAAATTGTACCTAAATATAGAGGGCCTTAAAAAAAGGCGTCAGTGTTAATCGGATGGTATTTCTCATAAGTAATAATCGACAAACAGCTTGAAATTATAGGCCGGCAAAAGATAAGATGTGTTTATTCGCGTAAACACATTTTCAATGAGGGAGTCTCCAGCACTTGCAGTCAACTTTCCACCGTGAACCCCACGTGGCTCCGTGCTACGTGCCACCTTGTGCGCTGCCGTTCATTGAAGCGAACGCGAGACGCAGTTGATGTTCGCGGGAGCTGATGGCTCACAAAATGAAAGTGTTTTACGTAATGGAAAACTCCCAAACTCCTTGCGTTTTGCGAGCTATCATTTCAAGTTGTCTGTTTATTGTTGCGAAGATATACGTTTGATGAAGCATCGCACGTCTTTTCTGAAACACCCTGTCTACGGCTCATACACATGCAATGTATACTTTTGACATATTACATTTCTGTTGCACATTTAACATAAGAGTATTATGCACTTGCAAACTCCGCCAATTTAAGCACAGGCAATTTTTTTTTTTACTTTTGTGCTGCAGACCGATTTTCAAAGAAAATCACGCTGGCTTTGTAGAATAAAAAGTTTTGATTACATTTTTTGCTTGAAAAACAGCATGCAGTGAAAGGGTTTAAAAAAAATCAGGAAAGCAACATTCTGCCACTTAAATCCGGAGGGTTGGCAAATGTGGAATCATGTTCCACGTGTCGATATTTAAACTGGGCAATTTTTTGTCTCTCCTCTCTTTCACGATGATCCAATACAAATGTCATAATGCACCCGGCATGTGGCAGCCTCTCCTTAACAAGATCCTTACAATTTCACCAGTTCTCATTTTCAAAAGTCATTTCGACGGCGCGGGTACATTAATACCTGCTGGCCTATATCACCCGCTCCTTATGAGCAAGTACAGTAGATATATATTTTTTTTGTTCAGAAAACAATGGAGCACCGAGAAGCAATTGCAATATCATACCGCACGACAGAGGAAGAATTCATACTCCGACTGGCAGCTTTCACGGCCACAGTACTTTTTTTTTTATAAACGAGCAGCCTCCTTTGCGTTCGTCACAGAAGAACACATCACGGATCCTCTGAGTTAAGCCGCTAATTTTATCCCCGCGGGTTTAAATTAGGGATTTAAGAGGGTTCGCTTGGAAGCGGCGTGGCCTTGCGTGGTCCCCCGCGTCCCCAAAGTGTCGATTGCATCCCCACGCTCGCCTGAGAGGGGGGGGGGGGCGGTCTAAAACGCCTGGCACCTGCTGCGTCTCGCGCATCGTGCTGCCACCACCCCCACGCCCCCCCCCCCCCCCCCCGATGACAGAGCTGCCTCGCGTGGCGTCCTCACGTCACGGGAACCGGGATCATGCCGGTGGCGCCGGCTGGGGCGAACGGATAAATCCGGCACGGGTTTTTTTTTTTAAGGACGGTTCACGTGCAGCGCAGGATCGTCGTCGTCGTCATCAGCCTCTACGTTGATATGCGCTTTATTTCACGATCCAATTTTCGGAAATCATCCTCTGTGACTGGGAATAACTTTGACTCCTTGCCTGACTCCACTATAGTGGGTATTTTTTTTTTGCGCCATACTATCTCAGTAGTTAACATCTCGTCACGGTGGTGAGATGTTAACTACCTCGTCTGGTACAAGAGAGGTCGTGGGTTAGAACCCGACCCTGATGCCTGTATATTTGGAGATTGTATGTTCTCCCCGTGGTCGCGTGGATTTTTCTCCAGGACCTCCGGTTTTTCCCTCCACATTTAGAAACATGAGTATTTGTCTGCTATGAATTTCCACATGATAAGCCACTTCGTTGCGCTATCATTTGCATCCAGGTCTCTTCTGACAATGAGGTGGGCCTTGCGTGGTAAAATAAAAAAAAAACATTGTTTAGTTTAGTTTTATCTTTGCTTAAATATATATATATGTATAATAATAATTAACAAACATAATTGGTTTAGGTCACGGATTGTCAGGGCTTGGATGACTGCTTCAATTTCTGATGAGTGGAATGACTTTTCACGTTCGACAAGAGGCTGACACGGGTGGTGCTGGGTAAAAATGGATAAATCCAGCTCGGGTTTTTGGGACATTTCACGGAAAGTTCACATCGTCGTCATGAATCATGATTGTACCGTGCCACCTCCCATCTGGGATCAGGGCACACATGAGAGAATTACTCAGTAAGGGGGTAATAATTACTCAGCAACAGTGTACAAAACAAAGCAGAATAAGCAAAAGGGTTAAGCTAACCCGTGCTTGAGACTACTTTTAAATAGGTCTGAAACTATTTGCGTCGCAAATGGCAAACGTTCATCTGCACTAAATGCGAATGCCTTGATTGGGGCTTTCTCGTGGCAGCTCATGTTGTTTTCATGAAGCACCGTCTGCAAATTGTAGCACAAAAACATTCAAATTGCGCCAAGTTAGGTTGTACATTCTGTCTAAACCCTGCCAAACTTACTGTTTTCTTGGTTAAATCTTCCATGCCAATGCGGTGCTGAATTAGATTAAAAACTTTTTTCCATTTATCGGCATCATGTGTCAGATGCCAACAACGTCTGCTTCCATTTTTGGAGATAATAGATTGTATTTTTAGCTCCCCGGCGTCACGTATTGTGTCCCACCCCCGCCACCTTCCCGCTTGTATGTCAAGAAGTCTATCATAAGACGAGCGCGTGGGCCCAATTTAATTTGCTTTTACATTTTTAGGGCCGCCACGCCGACGGAATAGCAGCCCAATAGCCCCACCGAGGCTCCGCTTTTACCCCAGCACCTGTTCCCCCTTGGCTCCAACTGTACGCGGTAGCGTTGCGGCTCACACTGCCAATTCCTTTGCGGCGATCGCAGCCTCTCGTTTCGCCGACAGCGACGTGAAGGCGTTGTACGCTCTCCAGGCTGCACCGGTACGCGGAGTGCACGCGTTCGGGAGGGGGAAAATCCCGGCCAAAGTACGCTTCCTGCCGATGTCGTCAATCCACTGCTGGGCAAAAGCCTCCCCAAGTTGATAATAGTTTTTTTTACCCTTTTATCTGGCAACAAAACTGACACCTTTTTTTTTACAAAGAGTCATGTTTGCATAGACCACAATACCTGCAGTCATAATGCAAACAAAAACACAACTCTGATAATGTACGCACTGTCCTTGAAGTTGATTGTTCCACACCCGAGACAGCTTTGCATAGAGCCTAGTCTCACATGGTGTTGGACCAGATGACGCCAAAAGTTGCATCCACTTCTCACGACCTTTCGATGTCACGGAGACAAAGATTCCCGTATAGCCTCTAACGGTTTGTTGGAGCAAGTGCTGTTAGCGACCGCCTATGAAGGCCGGCAAGGCACACGAGGAGGTGGGTGATCAGCACCACGCCTGTCTGCCCTTGTCTCCGCAGTGGCGATGTTTACATACCGCACCAGATGCTCATTTGAGGCTGAGTCCACCTAGACGAGGTCAGGGACCGGTTCAGATAATCGTCGCCGGTGTTGGCCGTGAGTGGGAAACGAAATTGGGTCACCAGGGTTCGTAGCGCATCGCGCTCACCGCTACACCACCGCTCCCCTCGATGTAACAATCCACCTTGCCACCTGCACACGAACTGATTTCATTGCTCCATCTCCTCGGTTGCACGCCTTCTCAGGCACGTTCCTTTCCTTGACCTTTGTGCCGTACAGGTTTGCTTCGTAGACGTTTATATCGACGCGACAAATTCCAAAAGTAAACCTGAAATTGCCAGAAGTATGCGACCTTGCGTCGGATGCAATCGTTTGGCATAAACACGCGTCCAGCAACATTATGCCGCGAATGGGTTTCGTCGTAGTAATGCTGGGAAACGTTTGTGGAAAGCGATTGTAGGTTATCGTTGTTTCAATATCACTCTTCTGTTCCCTAATGTCACTCTTCTTTTCCTGAGAGTGCTGCTCTTAAGATTGCGTGGCCAAGGCGCTTGTGCATACTCCCTCCCCAGCAGAGAGATCAAAGTGCGCTATTCATTCTTTAGCATTTCGAGGGAGTGCAGACAATTGATCAGACCCGAACCTCTGCCAATGCCTGTGTGTCGGATTAATGTTCCTGCCACAGGGCAAAGCCAAAAACTAATTCTAATAAAAATGGACTTCTCAGCCTGCTGAAGGCAATTGCATTTAATCGTCCCTCGCACATATAACGTTGGTTTTCCTTCTTTAATGGCCCTGTTTCCAAATGTATTTCTATTAAACTAAAATACCATGGGGGAAAGTTTTTGCCTTCGATATATTCCTGCATGAGCTCGCTTGTTACATGTATTTTGGTGCATATTGGATATTATATGCTGATATATATGACAATAAATGCGAAAACATTTTAAAGACTGTATTGGCGGTGCATGGCTCACATGTATTTATGTATATACTAATATTTTTTATGAATACTATACAAACTTTTCCAGTCATGGACAATTAGCGTCACAAATATTCCTAATCAGCCCGTGAAAGTCTTTATTTGTTTCCGTATTCTGTTGTAAAATTTACATTCCCCAATAAAATCGTGGTGCTTGGTACATGCCTAATTTAAAGTTTGGTAATATAAAGAAGTTTGGTTTCATAACAACATTTGGAGGTATTATATAAGTATAATGAAGGTAAAGGCGAAGCCCTGCAAGTGCTTGCTCACGCCACTGCTATTGGAAGGGCCTCCACTGGAGCAAGCTCCAGAGATCGTCTCTAGAGGGGTATTTGGCCTACTCTTTCACGCGGGCCAGACATTTTGAAAGAAGTGGCAGTTATCCACATTTGACCCCACTTTACGCGACCTGCCGATCGAGTGCGCACACTAACGGCGTGAAAAAATGGCGACGCTCTTTGCGCCACCTACGGCGTTCCACATTTCACTTCTTCCTTTCATTTTTGTTTCCTTTTCCGCAGAGGAGGACGCAGGGAGCAAGCCGCTGGCCGAGAGCGGCGGCGACTTTGCGGTGCACAAGGCGGTGGAGAAGTCCAACAGCACGGACCCGCCGCCAGACTCCAGGTCCTCGGACTCGTCCCTCTCTCTGCTCTCGCCCGAGGAGATCAAGTCCATCGGCGACTCGCTGAGCGTGGAGCCCAAGGTGTCTGGCGACAAGCGGCAGGACGGCGACGGGCACGAGGTTCAGAAAGCTGGCGCCGAAGAGGAAGCCGCCAGCAAGACCAACACCAACAACAACAACAACGCGCTGTTGGTGCCTGCCTTCGCTCGAGACGAGACGCTGTCCACCACCAACACTGGCAGCAGCGGCGGCGGCGACGGCCGCGGCCCGGATTCGTCGGGGCGGGCCAACGGAGGCGCCGTCGCGATTCCGATCGACAACGAGCACGCGGCGAGCTCCGATCCGAATCCCCCGTGGCCTCGCGCATTTGTCTAGGAGGCGCCGGCCGTCAGGAGCCTGCAGGTGAGTGTCACGATGACGTCGCCGCGCACCGTGACACCTGCCAGCTTACTGGGGGAGGAGCGCACCGGGCGCGAGACGCCGTTGACGGTGTTTAGTGCAGGCAGAAGGTATGCACCTCCCGTGTGCTTTTTTGTTAATTCTGTCGGACTTACGTAAGTTTTAAATGAAATGCCTTCACAACAAAACAATCCTCCCGCACGCTGGCCTGCTTACGGCATGAGAAGGGCATTCTACCTCGTTGTCATGGTGAGTAAACATAGGATTTTGCAAGGGATACAATTTCTAGTAAGAAAGCAAAGCGCAAGAGATGAACTTTCTTTTTATCAGCTCTGCTGACCGCTGACTGACAAATGTGCTCAGGGGTCCAGCTGTCATCGTTGAAAGGAAGCAACACCGATGCCTAATCTGGGACAGGTATTAATGCCCCACATTATGCAATGTATCCTGCCTCGCGTGTGTTTGTCTCGGTCACACGGGCCACAATAATCACTTTCAGGGTCAGGGGTATCAACGTGTAATTTGGGCTGGACGAGTCGTTACCACTGGAGGGTCTGGCAGTGACACCCGGCCCTTTGATGTTCAAAGGCTGTTCATGTATCGCAAGCAAGGCGGTAAGCCTTCTATTGCACTGCAATCATCAGTATGTATTTTCATTTTAATTGTAAATTTTATTCAGACCGCATTGAGCATCCCTGACCAGACAGAAGCTTAGGCATTTGAAGCCTGAGAAATTACAATTCTTTTCACGTTTTCACTCCGACCTTTGCGAGTTAACGTGTAATAATAATCGCGTTGAGAAAATGCTTATATTAGAAGCATTGACATTCTTATTTATCTTCTGCTGTTTCAATAAATGAATGCCATCTTAGTGTGATTTTTGGGAACCTTGTGAATTGACACCAACTCCTGGGAATTGGGAATTTAAATATACGCAATATTATGCTTATCTGAAATTATCTTGGATTTAACATTATACTGCCAGCTGGTTCTATTATAGATATTACCCTTTTTCTATTAAAGCCAAGCTAACCAAAGAGGAATTTAAATAGACACAAGGAGCACTCCTGAAAAAAATATTTGCTCCTTAAATGCAATTAGGATGGAGTTATGGGGTGGGCCATGCAAAATTACAATTTTAATAATTCATGACTTTTTTTATTATGGGATATTGGCTAGTTTTCTGACCTTGTGTGGAATATGATATACATAATTTAAATATCCCATCTATATATCTGTGCAGTGTTTATTCAGTTATGTTTGCCTGCAGGTAAAGGCAGATTAAACGTAATGCGCACACAAAGCGAGCGTTGACATTAATTTGTAGGTGATCAGAATGACATGTCGGGGGGAGGTATAATGACAAGTCCATTTGCGTTGCAGCAATGGCAAGGTGATGACGAGAGCCAACAAGCATCCTCATCACTACTGCCATGTGTGACAGCGTACGACAGTGATCTGCCACCAAGTTTGGAATACTAAGATTGGTTTACCATCATCGTTATCATTTCGTGTGCATTGTACCAACGAGGTTCGACAATTTGTGGGCACAGACCCTTGATTAAATAGGGTGCCACGTTGGTGAGATGTTGACTACCTCACCTGGTATACAGGAGATCGTGGGTTCGATCCCAATCGTGACGCCTGTTGTATATTTGGAGTTTGCATGTCTCTCTCCCCGTGGTCACGTGGACTTTTCCCCGGGTCTTCCGGTTTTTCTCCCCCACATTTCGAATCGACATCACGTGTTTAGAGTATGTTGCTGCTATACATTTCCACGTGATAAGCCACTTCGTTGAGCTATCATTTGTGACCAGGCCCCTTCTGAAGAAGAGCTACACAGCTCATTGGGCCGTTCCTGATAAATAAAACAAATTCGTCAGCTGTGCATGGCTCCTTTAACAGATACAAGTGTAGAGGATGAGGCATCATGTTGCTCATCACCACAGTCCGTGCTCTTAGCCTAGTCGTCATGGGCCCCAGGCATCACCAGATTTGCACGTTGGGTCTCCTGACCCTGATGGAAGAGAGAGAGAGAGTCTCCGTCAATCGTGGCCTCATTTTAAGCAGCTGCTGAAGTTGCAAGCAGCTTGTGCGTTCCATAAACGCCTTCGCGCCAGACACTTACGTTGAAGCTTCACGTTGGGAGGAGTAAGTTGCGCGTGGTGTTTTGAGACTGCGATTCGCAAGCCTCCAAACGTGGTTCCATTCTCTCCAAAAGGGTAGTGGACCGCTGGGATTTTACGGTTCTGCAAATAGGAGTTGGTGCTGCCTTAAAAAAGTGAGTTTAACACGTAGGCTTTCGCGACCAATATCATCCATTCTAGGTTTTTTGGGTGAGAACGCGTAAATATAAATGCGTCCTTAAATCCGCCACCAGCTGACACAGCTGTATAGTAAGCTTTGTCGAGTAATCAGAACAGACAAATCTGGCTGTCGCCTGATGAAGCTGGTTGTAATTACTGCCAAAACATCGTACTCAGATTGTAAATGTTGTGGATTTGCTCTCCAACACACCGGTGTGCTGTACTAGTAACGAATTGGCACGTTCTGTTTACGTGACAAACCTTACTCATTGGCTGTGTTGGGTGGTGGCGAGTATAACGACACATTTATATCTTTACGTGATCTACCTAAAAAAAATCTACATTAAAAAAGTAACCCTGCACCAAAACGTTGACTTGGTAAGAATTATTCTGGGAATAGATCAATTCCTACATGTACATATGGGCAGTTTTATTTGGTGCAAGTTGGTGAAAGTTCCCTATTGAGGCAAGGTTACTGGAGAGAGCACTCAAAGACTGAATTATCTCTATAAATATAGGTCACGTCAATACTATTTACACAACTGTGCGTCAACAGGTGACTCGATCTCTGCACAAACTTTCTTTTATTCTGCATTGAAACTCGCAGCATTACATGTGTTGACTGTGGCGCAGGTGTTACTGCAAATTATATATCCACGTTGGTGCACACACACACACACCAGTAAAAAAAAAAAATATGCCTTCGGCTTAAAGGACATTTTGCACAATTCCCGCAGATGCAACCTTTGGAGAAAATTGCACGGCGCGCCGCAGTGATTTGGAATAATTGCAGCTTTTCCACGAACGTTTAAACGCACGCCAAAGGAAGGGTACAAATAAATAAATAAATAAATATATTTATAAATAAATAAAACCTCTGCCACTTGACAGGACAAGATGTCACAATCACAAGCCCCGCAGTGGGTAGATGAGCCGGTGGCACTCTCAGCTCACGTAGACAACAACATGGAATTCTCTCCGCCACCCGCTGTGCAACGGCACCATCAGCCTCCCCCCAGAGCCAAGCACAGCCTCCCGTTGCCTTTTGACTATGCACTCATAATGCCATCCAGCTGAAGGTAAAACAAATGTAAATGTGCAAGCCCTGCAATTTCTTCTAGATTTGAAGCTTTCGTGACTGCAAGGATTCATATTCTTAGGTTTTTTCGGTAAAGTCACATAGGTAAAAAATTTAAATCTAAATTAATAAAAGTAAAATAAAATAAAAATGAAATAAAATCACGACGTTTCGGAGGCAACACAAGCTTCCGTCTTCAGGTGGAACCGTCACAGCACGATAGCTGTATCAAATAAATGAGAAATTCCAAGAGATACTACCCCGTATATATACTGGTCAAGCCGCACCAACCTTACCATAATAATAAAAAGGGGGCCTGGCCTGGCACATCCCCCCCTCAACCGGTATATATACGGGGTAGTATCTGTATTCTTAGGTTTTTTCGGTAAAGTCACGTAGGTAAAAAAATACAATTAAAATTAATAAAAGTAAAATAAAAATAAAAAATCACGACGTTTCGGAGGCAACACAAGCTTCCGTCTTCAGGTGGAACCGTCACAGCCCGACAGCTGTATCAAGTAAATGAGAGATTACAAGAGATACCACTCCGTATATATAATGGTTGAGGGGGGGGGGGGGGAAGGGCCAGGAACGACCCACTTTTTATTATTATGGTAAGGTGCGGCTTGAGACTACTAGTATCTCTTGGAATTTCTCATTTACTTGTTACAGCACTCGTGCTGTGACGGTTCCACCTAAAGACGGAAGCTTGTGTTGCCTCCGAAACGTCGTGATTTTTATTTTATTTTTATGAATTTTAATTTTATTTTTTTACCTACGTGACTTTACCGAAAAAAACTGCAATTTCTGCTTGCTCGCGTAACCCCTGGCTGGAGGGCCTCAGCTCTGGAGGGGCCCAACTCTTCTACGCTGGCTAGAAGGTGACTTGGAAGCCGTGGGAAGTGCCCACACTTTGCCCCACCACATTGCGACCTGCCCACCGAATCAAACCGCGGTTGCAATCCATTCACCGTCTCGTCAGATCGATCATGACTGCCCGAGCAAAGGTTATTAGATCCGTGCGGTCCGCGTGGCACAGAAGTGAATGCGGAGTTCGCACGTGAAGGATGACGATGCAGTGCCGCGTGAAAGGGGCCTTCGGTGCTGCTCTCTCCTCGGCAGCTGCGGTCACGTGTCGGCGTTCAGCTAGTTCGACATCGTCGGTTGAGCATGCAGGATCTCCGCAGGGACCCGTCTTGCGCTGTCTCCTCCCAGTCACCGCTGTCGACATTGCACTCAGCCAGCTCTCGCTCTCTGCCAGTGATCACTTTATATTTATACTGCTGGGTGGGCACGGGCGTGTGGGACGGGTGTTTCAAAAAACACTTGCCCCGTTAGTTCAACTGGCGTGCCGGGAGATTTAGCCAGATCGGCGACCTCTGGATTGCACGTTCAGTGCGGCACACTACCATGGCCCTACCATGAAGCAAACAAGGCCGCTCCAAAGGCCCCATTCTCTATCGCTGAAACGCATGTATAGCGCAATGGTCTGTTGGCTGGCAGGGTGCTATTAGAATTGGACAGTAAATTCCGCATGTCTGAAACAAGTCTTCAATGGGTGCCTGTTTGGTGTCATTTTTTGGCAGGCCAAAAGTCTTTACAGCTGCTGCTGCTGCAAA